CCTGTTGGAGCAGCTCCTGGTTTCGTGCTCACCAGCACAATGGCCGCAAAGCGGAGAAAACCGGCAGTGCTCTGCAAAGTGACCGAAGGCCAAACACTTGTAGCACTGAAGCACTCTGACGTGGTCCGAGACTCTGCATGCCGAGTGGTTGATAAAAGCCAGTCCGTTTCCCATCAAATATGAACGTATGTCAGGGGTCACCTCGATTACGCAGCTCGTGGTACGGCGGTCCTTCTTCAGAGGGAAAATATAGACTATTTTTACCTCTGTAGCGTCTAAGCATTTCAAGTTCAACGCTATAAATTCTGATCTGATTTCATCTCGAGTCAAGTTACAAGGTATTCCTTGGATAAGCAGTCTAGGATTGATCTTTCTGTCTTCTTCAAGTTTTACGCCGGCATTATTAAGTTCTATCAAATCTTTCATTTTATGCAAGTCCACAGAAAGAGCCTCAATGCGGACTCCATTATTTTTTATGGACGTGATGCTTTTGACTTTTAGATTGAAGTCCGATGGTCTGATGGCTTTCTGTAGCGCCACTCTAGTGTCCCTCGACGTGATGTATTTAGTAGAGGAATCATCCTTCGGGGCCATAATCAGATTTGTAGTCCTTGGGACTCCCAGAGGCCGGCCTGCAACGCTCACGCCACACAGTGGAGCGAATCTATCAAAAACCGGATATTGGACGAAAAAATGAAAAACGTATAATTCAAATTTTGACGAAATTTTATGTTAATATATATCCTAAACTATAAATAAATGTGCTTATAATTGATTTTAACCTTTGTTATTTCCTCAAAATGATCTGATAAAGTATGACATTTTCGTGAATACTGAAATTCTAGTAATTTGATAGGTTATTTTTTAAAGTCTCCGCCGAAAGTATAATTGCAAATATGAGTTAAATGCTTATCATAACTTATTTATTAAGGTTCAAAAAACATTTATTTTAGTTTTATGTCATTTGAGTACTATTATATATTAATAAATATACACGACATATTCGACTATTAAAAATTTCTTACTTCATTATTCAAACAGGAAGAAAGTGTGTGGATTAGAATGGATTAAGGTTTGCTCTGCGCCATTTGATAGGGCAAAGTGTCTAGTTTTTGGCCATATATGATCATTCATCCCCCTTCGTCCCCCTTTTTGAGATAATTGACCTTAAAGTTCACTCGACATAGTCGAACGTCGTCCATGAATAGCTCAATGGACGACGTTCGATCATGTCGAGTGAATATGGTTGTCTATTTTCTCATAAAAGAAAGACGAAGGGGGATATATAATTTGTTTAAATATTGCTATTTTATAACGATTAATTACATTAATTAATATAATAGCAATATGATAAGTATTATTGGATAAATGTATCTGGAGTACTGCGCATTCTGTAAATCCATGGGCCAATAAGATTGCTCTACGTTAAATTATTCGTTTTCCTTGAGGAAAAGGGGAGGGGAGAGAGAGGGGAGGGGAGGGAAGAAAATAAAAACAGCGGAGATAAGAACTTTTCGTCAGTCTCTCGATCAGTAGTCGATTAAAGACTTTTTGATTTTGAAAGTTTTGATTTTTGTCGTTGCTTTATACAATTCACTTTGCGTCTTTTTTAGGATACAGTAAAAAATATATAGAATATATACAATATATAGAAGATTATACTTTAACACGCTCGCAAAATAAAAAGTTTCCGGACGAATCGTCAACTTTTTAATTGTATGCAAATAATCTTGATTTATCAAACTATGAGGCTTTAATAAGCCACATAATATCATGTATTGATACTGAATTACCCAAATTCGCGTTGGAACCATTAAAACGAAAAATCATAAATTTCACGAAAAATTTGAAGTCAAAATAGATAGCTAGCCGTTACGATTACAATTACATTACAATTACGATTACATTGCTGGATTTGCTGTTTCGAATGCTTATTACATATTTCGTATAAAATTAATATCAAATGTTGGTCAGCAAGGAATGAGAGACATAAACGAGAAGTCGAGCAAAGAAAAAGAGAGATACAGACTGCCTTCAGAACAAAAGCAGGTCTTTTAATAGACTTCGTGAAACAAGGAAAAGGTACATCTAATGATGGCAACACGGCTAGAAAATTGTTTGCTAATCCAGAATTATCAGCTGCCATTACAGGTTTAGATAAGAACTTAATAACTCGATTTGGAGTTTTGTTGCAAGTAATCGCTAGCGGTAATAGGATTAACGTGTTGGAATTCGAATCCTATGCTTTTAGAACTGCCGAATTATTTGTATCATTATACCTATGGTACTACATGCCAGTCTCAGTCCACAAATTATTGATTCATGGCAGTGATATTATAAATAATGCTATCGTACCAATAGGACAATTATCTGAAGATGCTCAGGAAGCAAACCATAAATATTTTAAAAAATATAGAAAAAATCATTCGCAAAAAATGTCGCGAATACAAAATAGTAGCCATACTATAGGGGATTTGAAACCGGGCGGACTTGACGGCGGGTCGGGGGCAGAAAGCGAAACGCGTGGGAGCCGCCGTAAGCGGTGGGCGAGGGAATGGCGTCGGCAGACGGGGGCCGCCCCGCCGCTGCTTTTCTAACCCGGGATAGTGGGGGCAGCAAGGGGCGCCACCATTTTCGCGCGGCGCGGCACGAGGGGGCGGGCCACTCCGAATTTTCCCTCTAGGTCAATCGCGGTTATCTCTCAAAGCTATTTCCAGAGTTATCTGCTGCCCTATTGACATCCGCCGAGCGATAAGCGCGAGTCAACGCGAATCCTCGCGCAATTGTATCGTCAGTTTGAAGTTTGCGAAGGTTATATTTTAATAATAATTACTGAAATCTACATTGCAATAATCGTACGGACAGAAACAATTTCAACAACGTACGCAACATTTTGTCGTCGTTGTCGTCGGAGATCGTTTCCGTTTGCGTGATCGCGGTTATCTTTTAAAGCTATTTCCAGAGTTATCTGCTGCCCTATTGACCCCGTACATCCGCCGTCGAATCGTTATCGAGCGCTATATAAACGCGGGAAGAACGCGAATTCTGACCTATTGACATTCGCCGAGCGATAAGGGCGAGACAACGCGAATCCTTGCGCAATCGTCAGTTTGAAGTTTGTGAAGGTGCGAGAACGTTGACGCTCGTAGTTCGCGCGGTACATCTGTATGGAGAGAAATAGTGCCATGGAGAGTCAAATGAAAGATAAGGAGGCTCTAATGTCGTTGTTGGACGAGCCGTTCGAGGATCAGGTCGTAGAAGTCGAACGCACCTCGACGGATATCGAGTCGGTCAATTTTGCTTTGCTCGATCTGTTGCGCGAAATTTGGAATCCTGAATGTTCGGCGTCGCAGAATTTGAGACCGTTGCTCGCAAGCGTCTCGAAGTACCTGACGACTACGAATCAGAAGCAAACCGATTGCGACGTACGTCGTATGCGCGAGGGCAGCAACATAAAGAGCGTGCTGACAGAGCTCCATAAATTGTGGCTGAAGGAAGGTCCTAAGAGTCCTACCTGTTTCGTGAATGAAATGTATAATTTTATTCGTAATCGACTTCCGTCGAAGTTGTATTCATCATTAGTGAGTGATCTAATGACACAAGATACCTTTTACGAATGGATTAATTATCACGATAGATACGTCAAAAGTTTACGCGTCGGTGCGGGAGGGGATATCCCCGCCGCGGTTTCGACGGATCATTCGTACAGCGTGGAGAAGCGAGACGAGAAGGAGGACGAGGCAGGATGCAGCGGCGGCGGCGGGCTCGACGCGTTGTTCGACCTGACGGAGTCTGGTCGCGATCTCGATCGTATTCCGCAGCATATATCGAAGATGAAAGATCGACGGATGCTTACCGTGAGGTCCCCCGGGGAGATCGGATCACAGTTGATCCGTCTGGACGTCTACGACATCAAGGATATCGCGAACAAGGAGAGACGTGATTGGTGGAAATACGCGAAATTGCGATCTCAGATCCTGACCACTGTCGCGTACGGATCGCAAGCGACTATTAGTGCGTCAGTTATTGGATCAAGCGGCGGACGATTTGAGGAAGATTCCCGGAGTTACAAAGGAGACGAGGAACGTCATACATGAAAGCGGCGTTTAAATATATCGCAAACATGCACGTCTTAATAATGTTTTTGAAAAAAAGACTTATTATTATATTCTTTTATCAAGATACACGTTTATTTAACTTTTTTTTTTCATTACAGAGGTACATCATACCGTCAGGGGCCCCCAGTAGAACCACCCTCTACTCTACAAAAAAAATGTAATATGTAGAAAAAAAATACATTATCTTAACTACAACACGGCTGTCTCATTTTTATAATACAATAAAAAGCGTTACAGAATGTCGAGACGCGCGCGATGTTCCGCCCACCAATCGTGTAACTTGCACACGTTCTCCATGGCGCAGTTCCTCGCGTGGCGTCTGCAGAGGAAAGATCGGATCGCACTGAGGGTCTCTAGTCGACCGATGTCCTCGTATTCGACGTCCATCGACTCGATCTTAACGTTGAACTCACCGACGGCGTCGCCGAGAATCTCCTCCAACCATCCTTTTTTTTCAGCGCCTTTCACGTAAACAAGTTTGAGCGTCTCGCAGTTCAGTCTATCGCACACGGCGCTTCGGATGATCGTTCTCGCCCGAACGTAATTCACGTCTCCATCGTTCCATTTGAAACCATGATGATTCGCCGTCAACCAGCACGCCCGCGATTTTTCCGCTCTTGTTAGAAGATTCCACGCCAATGGCGCGCGAAACACGTAGTGAATCAGTTCCTTTTTGTCTCTGAGCACGGCCACTTCTTTAACTGTGAACTTTTCGCGGATAACGAATCCCTGCAGATCCACGAATATCGGTACGTCGCGGTCGGCGGACATCGTCTCTCTGTACGGTCAGTCGCCACCCCCACTCTGTTTGAACCTGCAGCTTATCGCGATTTCGTCAGACGAATAGATACGTTCTTCTTCTTCTTCTTCTTCTGTTTTCCTTTACACGATCTTGCGGACTATGTTAGTCAGCGGATTGTACTCGATCACGCGATCGTGGATGATGAGACAGTAGGCCGTCGTATTGGAATCTATATTACGTTTGCAATCGAACTCTATGCGAACGTCTACGGTGGCGCTTTTGACGGATTCGTTCTGACGAGAACAGTCGATGACCACGAACGGGCCCCATTTGTCGAATTCTTCCATCGTTAGAAGCGCGTTCTCTCGCTCGCATCCGTAATACGACTTTCGAAATTTCGCGTACATCTCGTACAGTATGGCCGTTCTACGCTTCTCAAAATCCAAGTTCATATCGTCGTAGGGATAAAAATCTGAATTAAGGTACAGTTTCACATTAGTGAGATTACCGTCGTCAAACTCGGAGGCGTGTTTCAATAAGTTGTTGGACCTCCCGGTTTGTAGCGCGAAAATGACGTATCGCGGTTTCTCAAGCTGCGTCGCTGCTTCCACAGCCCACGAATGCCTGTTCGTGGTTTGGAGCAAAGGGTACTCGTACAAATCCCACGAGCGGAAGCCCATACTTAGGTGTCGTCCGCTCTCCAACGTTCGTAAAAAGGACAATTTATTGACGTCGTTCAGCACCACGTGCGGCATTCGCCATTGCACTTTTAACAGAGTAATCGTAGGATTCTTGTGACGTTCCGGTTTCGTGACGATGCAATTAGCGTCGGTTCGGGAACGTATCAGAATGAGTTCGTGTCGCGCGTTTATCACCACGTGTTTGTAATCCTCGCAAAAACCTAGCAGTACGTTAAGGGGTACGCAAAAATTGAAATCGCCGATTCTAGTTCTCGAACGAGCCCGAGTCGAAATTTTGATACTACTTTGACATTCTTAAGGATAGTTTGCACCTACTTAGATACTCTATAACCTAAAGAAAACCTACTTTGATAATATTACACTTATTAACTTCTTTTTTAAACCTCTAATTCTATACATTTTATTTTAATACTACTTTGAAGCTACAATGCTCCCAAAATTTTAATGCTGCTTTGACACTGAGATATTCCACAGCTAATAAAACCTATTTTAATGATATTATACTTATTAACTCCTCTTTTAAACTTTTAATTCTACAGATTTAATTTTAACGCTATACCCCGAGGCAAAAATATATGTCATACAAATGCTAAATAAAATTAAATCGACAATTAAAAGAGAAGTAACGAATAATTTTATTCAAGTTCCTTTTTATTAATTGGTAAAACAACATATGTTAAATTATCAAAATTTACATAAACACAAGATGTTATAAGAGCATTAACAGGAATAACATAGAAATTATTTGTTACATAACATTTATACAAAAATTGTGCAGTAGAATACTCAAATTGATAACCCGTAGTGACAAATATATCATGTTTAAGAATTTCACAAATAACCGCATAATGTTGATGACAGCAATTACAAAAAGGTTGATTACAATTTAAAAGTTTAATAAAACAATGAATAATACCTAATCTTTCTTCATTATTCTGAAAATATTGTATAACAGATGATTCAGTTTGCAAACTTCGATTATACATTTTAGATACATAAAGTTTGTTATGATATAAAAGCCTAAAATATTGATATATTACAGATATTATTACAACTGCATTAAACAATAGTAAAATACCGTA